CGGCACCGCTGCTCCCACTTCCGTCCCGGGATCTGCGAACAACGGTACTGGTATCCTTTCTTCTATCAGCTCCGTCATTGCGTCCGCTACCTCCGCTCTTGGTAACGGCACCGCTGCTCCCACTTCCGTCCCGGGATCTGCGAACAACGGTACTGGTATCCTTTCCTCTATCAGCTCCGTCATTGCGTCCGCTACCTCCGCTCTTGGTAACAGCACCGCTGCCCCCACTGGTACTCCCTCCGCTTCCAACGGCACTTCCCCCGCTGCTACCGCTTCCCCCATCGCCTCCCCATTCACTTTGGCCGCTGACGGCGCTGGTGTGTTGACCCTGGTTGGTGGTGTCTTGACGTTCGAGAACACCTCTTCCCCCTCCACTTTCACCATCAACGACGATGGTGCCCTCGTTTCCGACGGTAACATCATCTCTACCGCCGACGCTGATGGCTCTCCCTTCGTTGCCGCTTCCGGTATTTCGCGTCGTCAACTCGCGCCGAGTGGGTTGTGGAGGTTGTTGGCTGGTGTCCTTGAGTTCTTCTTGAACCAGGAGAGGCAGGTTTTGGCGGCTTGTAACACGGGTGGTGTGGTTACCCTCAACCACTTTTCTGATGCTTCCTTGGTGGGTAACTGTTTCACTGTTTCTCTTCAGCCTGCCCCTGCTTCTGAGGAGGCTTCTTCCTCTTCTTCTTCCTCTGAGGTCGCTGCTCCTACCGGTACCAACAGCACATCTGCTGCCACTCCCGCCGAGGCTACTCAGACGAGCTTGCCCGTTGAGTCCAGCAGTGCCAACTCTACCACCGCTGCCCCTACCGCGGAGTCTACTGCTTCTGGCGTTACCATTCTCCCCATCTCCACCTCCTCTGAGGCTTCTTCTTCCGCCACTTCAGTTGCGTCCCCCTCCGCCGGTTTCCTCAACAGCACCATTGCCAGCCCTACCGGCGTGCAGAGGAGGGCTTACCGCTACGCTCGTATCTAAACGTCCTCTTTCGAGGACTTTACTTGAGGGCGTGTGAGATAATATAGGCTACTGGAGAGTGTTTTATGATTTATATTCGTTAATTGCGAGGATGAGCATTAGGCCATCTGAGTGATATCTATTCCTTCGTTTTGGGGGTTTAATAGAGTTCCGTCACGTTTAGATGTGCGAAACAGTTTGATAACTTTCTGATGATATACCTAATGGGTTATTGATACTCTTTGTCCCTCTTGTGCTTTTTGTAAGTCCATCTCCCAAAGTCGTGCTCTATTTCGTCCCCACCGGTCTGCTGCTTCCCACGATTCTTACAATATATAGATAAGGAGAATGGACAATAAGATCTGCGCATATGTCCTTTCTCTCAGGATCATGAAGCACAATACCAAATGCGAATTACTACATCCTAATCGTACACATCATCCTCTCTCCCGCGAGAGCCCAAGTGAAATCCCAAACTTCAACTCACTTCTCATCACCAATCCAAAGGGAGTACAAAAACGCCGGAAACCCGGACCGAGAACCAGAACAACGAAAGAGCATGCCAAAAGAAACAACCATACCGAATAAGCCAGTACAGTCCTACACACTCGTCTTACACGACTCCACTACCTCCCCGAAAAACAAAGCACCGAGTGTCACCGTTCCAAGTTCGACACCTCAAAGCTTCGATGACTAGAGAGCCATTTACGACTCATCCATCAACCTCGTCCCACCACCACCACCGAACCCACGGGGCATGAACTCATCTTCAGAGACGTGTCCACTCCCATGATTCCCCTCCTCTTTAATCTTCGCCACCATCCCTCCACCACCTCCATTCCCGTTACAGTTCGCGTTTTGCTGCCCACCAAACGGAGAAGCAAAGTTAAACGCATGGTGAACACCTTGCGTGTTGACCCCCGGCATCGTATTGTTTGCTTGGGTATTCAACAGGGCGGTATGGTTTCCACCACCTCCCCTAAGCACCATCTCAAGTTCGCGGTTCCTCGCCTCAAGTTCCGCGCAGCGGGCATTCAAATACCGAATATGATCAACACTCTTACTCAACACGATCCCCTTATTGGTCCTCTCCTTCTCCAACTTTGCCTCCGCCCCGGGACTCCTCTTGTTGCCCCCGGCTCCGCCCTCGCCATCCCCGCCCGAGGTGGAGTTCCTGCGTTCACTGGCGCCGGTGACGTTAGGGAATGAGCCATCTTCCATGGGGAGAAGGTTTGCGAGTTCCTTGATTTTTTCGTTGATGTTGTCGCGACGGCGACGTTCGACTGCGTTGTGACTTTCACGTCTTTTGCGTCTCTTCTCGGCTTGTTGGGTCGCGTCACCTTTAATAGGTCCCGTCAAGAATCCGGTCGGGACACCAACCATGCTCGCGACGTCGTCTTCGACGATAGCACTCTCCGGATATGGGTAGGACCCCGGACGCGATCCCGGTGGCGAATGCCCAGTCGGCGACATCCCCATCCCATTCCCATACGTAACTTGATTCAACAGGCTCGGACGACGGGCCGTACCCCCCGACGCACGACGATTCGACAACGGAATCGCGACGGCAGGGGTGTGTAAAGGATTCCCATCCCCACTCGCCAACGTCGGACTCCCGAAATAATCTTGTGGCGCCCCACCCCCCGCCGCATTCGCCGGCGTAAACGGCGTATTTGGCGTAAAAGGCGTTCCAAAACCCCCGGCACGCTGTGCGAGATACCCACCGTGGTCAAACATCGGACTCTGCGAGAATGAATGCGCGGAGAACGATGATGCATGTGGACGAGCAACATGAAACCCGCGTGGGTCAGTGGAGGATGAGATAGGGTTATTCAAGTCTCCGAGGGAGACGAGGTCTGCGGCGGAGATCATGCCGGAGGACATATCGCTTCCACCACCAGACGAGTGCTCTTGATGGCCGTTTGACTGCTGGCCTTGATTTTGTTCGGACCAGCCGAAACCGGTGTTGAAGTCCGAGCGGTGGGAGGAAGAAGACGCGCTACTCGGCGTCGTGAAGAAGTTACCGGGGTGCTGCAAAGGATGATTAAACGGGCTTTCAGCCGCGTTCGTCGCACCAGTTTGCTGAGCTTGACCAAAGGGCTGCGGAGCTGCTGGGGGCTGAGAAGGGTGTGTGGCCGTGGGTGTATGCCCCAGGTAAGTCATATCGTCGTGAAACGGAGAGTGATCTGTAGGATGATCGAGGGGGTTCGCAGGCGTGTGCCCGGAGAAGAAGTGTGTGTCGAAGGTTGACATGATGGCTTGGGGTGTATGCTGCCTTGGCGGTGAAGGTAAGGCCTGTAAAGTCACTGAAGGTGCAGGTTGATCGCGCAGGAGGTTGTAAGGACTTTCAAGGCTGCGCGTTGAGTAGAAGAAGAAGATTGATAAGGGCTGGCAAAGAAGTAGTTATTTTGATGCCGAAAAGTCAGAGAGACGATCGTTGCGAACTCAAGACGTCTGTAGCACACGTGGACCAGTTAGCGACTCGTTGCAAACAAAGACTTTCCGGCTCCTCGGTACCACGCACCTTCAACTCTCGAGAAAATGGCAACACAGTAGTTGAGATGAGCTGTCCTTGACAAGACGAGGAGATTCTTTCCGATGAGCAGTTTCGATGCGGGTCCGATTTTTCTTCTGATGATTCTAGGGGGGATTCCTTGACGGTGAGGCTTGGGTGTCCTAAAAGGCGGGCACTAAACCCCGCTTCCAGTTTGGGCCCAGCTGGGGTGCAGTGAAGGGACGCTAAAGAGCTCGGTCTGAACGGCCGTTCAACACCTTGGGGAAGGACGTTTGATGATATGGAGGGTTTTGAATAAGGGTCCTGCTCACGGGGTGCGTTGATCTTTGTGGATGAATAAGGTTCGTGTGCAGTTCGTCGCAGAATTTGGTGAGCGATCGCCAGTAAGGAAGGGAAGGCCGAGGAGGGGCCCGGAGAGGAGTGGACCCCTATCAAGGTAGCGGAACCGACGGGTGACGAGAGTGTTACTGTGTTCTGCTGCGAACTAGACTCACAGTCTACAAGAGTAGGTTTCAAATGCATGTTGCCGTGTTCTCGCTGTCTATTGGTGTTCTCGTCTAGTCAGGTTTAGCCGACGTCGCCCTTTTACCCTCCTCACCCTTCACAGCAGCCTCATCGCGAGGATTGGTAAGGTTCGTTCCCGCTCACGGAAAATTCTGCAAACGAAGTCCGGTACAGGGCCCTTTCTGCTACAATCGCGGCTCGCTACTGCCTGGACCTGCCAGCTTCTTTCATCGATGTTCGGGCCGGCATAATTGCTAGTCGACGGCCTGTCTTGGAGGAGGACGACTTCAGGGGTCTGAGGCTGAGATGCGGTGCCCCGCTTTATTTGCAAGCAGGGATAGCAAAACCATGACATTTATATTTACTGAGTCACTGATGCCAAATACTGCGCTGTAAACGTCCTGTCACTGCTCACGGTCCGAGTACGTCTACACGCGTGCCTTGACGGCATTACCCCCATGGGGCGAGATTTGCAGCTGTCAAGATAATTCCAACCCCAACGGAAATACCCATAACCCTCCGAGATGACCCCTGTTGCTGCTTCATCATTCGAAACAGGTTACTGCGTGCATATACCGTACCCAGGCAGATGAAAAATCCCGCCGTGCGAAATTAGATTGTAACATTAGGTCGGGAAAATAGGTTACGTAAGCTACCTGATTGCCAAGCAAGGATTTCAGGCCTTAGTTGATCCAAGAAACACCTCGTTGAAGAGGACGAGTTTGTTGGGGATAGCTCTCTCATCCTTCGGTACACTCTCCGAGCTCCACGGCCAAATCCCATGTGTGGCTGGTGCTGCCAACTCATGCGCTGCGCCGCAACACCTACCGCAACGGCGGTAACGTAGGGTGAAGGACGAACACCATTTGACAAAGCTCACGACAATGGACCATCAAAATCGCGTAGGATCAAAGGTATTCCCCAAAAGCGTTCCACTTTTCTAAGCCTAGCTGACTCTGGGGACATAGACTGGTGGAGGAGGTGTCGCATCATGGTCAGAAAGCAACGTCGACAGAAGAGAACGACTACGAAAGCTTGCACTGGAAACAATCGACCTCGAAAAGGATCCATACTATTTCCGGAATCACTTGGGGTCATACGAATGGTACGCTTGAAACATGGATGGGTGCAAGACACATACTGACTTGACGCGTACAGCAAACTCTGCCTAACCCTCCACGTAAACGACGGCTCCTACCTCGCCCACACCCAAGGCAAAAAACACCAAACAAACCTCGCCCGCCGCGCAGCACGAGACGCAAAACAAGGGGCAACAGACACCCAAACCGGCCTCCCCATCGGCCTCTCCGGCGCCTCCGCCATCCCCATCCGCAAAAATATTCTAAAGATCGGTAGGCCGGGGTATAAGATCACGAAACTCCGTGATCCCGTAACGCGACAACTCGGATTCCTCTTTCAGCTTCAGTACCCCGATATCGCGACCTCCGCCGCCGCGGAAGGTGAAACGGAAATCAAACCACGACACCGCTTTATGAGTGCGTATGAACAGCATCGCGAACCCGCTGATCGGGGGTTTCAGTATTTGCTGGTTGCGGCGGAGCCGTATGAGACTGTAGCGTTTAAGTTGCAGAGTAGGGAAATTGATCGGAGTGAGGGGAAGTTTTGGACGTATTGGGACCGGGATGGGAAAGTTTATTCAATGCAGTTTTTCTTCAAGGGGGAGAGGGAGGAGAGGTTTTCGGGGGTGCCGGGGTTGGGTCCGTCAAGACGATAAAGTGGAATGGGAGTAAAGAAGGGAGGGGCGGGTTTCTGTGCACGGATATACCAGAAGACAAAGTGCATGAACTAGCGAAAAGCAAAATAAGAGACCGTAACCCAATATCCATATGTGAGAAGAGAATGAAAGTAAAAACACCAATGAACCCAAACCGTCCAGACCTAATCCCAACACTCATAAACATCTGCGCTCAGAACGGCTTAGCAACGGCCTGCGCAGCCCTACTCGCCATTTCCCTTTCCAACTCGGCGATTAACCACACTATACTCCTTCCACCTTCTGACCTACCCTGCACCTCCATTTCCTGGACTTCGTCGACGACGAGGCCTTCAGCTGCCCATGGGTTGACTTCGAAGGCTTTCGGAGCTAGGGTCGCTGGCGTACGGAGGAGTTCGCGAGTTACAGTCTCTGTGCCGATGCTTGACACTGGTGGCTCCTCTTCTGGGACCGCGAAGATAGTTTCCCAGTTGACGTAGGCGCTTTCCTGGGTATGTTCGGGCACGACGACGGTGCCCGCCTCGATGCCGATGTCCCTTAGGAAGTTGTCAAGGTGATCAGGATCCATTCCGGGGAATTCAATACCCAATGTACCCCTGGCTGGGTCATACCTCACTGTCCATGATCCAAGGTTGCTTAACTTGTTCAACGATGAACGAATCCGTGCAAACTCCATCTCCACAGAGCGAGGCGCGGCGTGCAACTCCAAGACAGTAGAATGAGAAAACTCGTAGAACTCCGCAGACAAGATCGCAGTAAGATGCGAAACCTGCTCATCAGCGTACTCATTCCACTGTGCGACGATGAGCTTGACCAACGCGGGAGAAAGGGTGGACTTGGCCGGAATGGAAAGATTCTGCGGAAGACGGAACTCAAGAACAGACTTTTGCGCACGAGCAGCGCTCACGGCATCATACAATCCTCCAACCTTTGACTGCGCATCAGAATAAGCTTTCGTACCTCGGAGGAGGCCAGTGCGTGCGGCGATAGAGATCGAAGATGCGATTTGCTGCGTGATTCCGGAGTGGAAGGAGCGTGGACTGCACCCCGGCAACGTTGGGTGCGACGCAAATGGCCCACGACGAAGCGTACCACCAATCGAGGGACGCAACGACGAACGGAAAGTCTGTCCTGGATTCCACTTAACCTGTGGTCCCCTCGGCTGAGTCTTAGGTCCCGCGAAGTTGGCATTCGTGAAGAACCTCCATCCCCTCCCTCCGTGCGACTGAACATGATCGTAAACTAAACGATAAGCCCTCGATTTCGGTGGCTCAACAAGAACGTGCGCAAGACTCGGGCCGAGAGGAGCTGTATGCGCCGCGAATCCCGCAAGCTTCTTCTGAAGGAGCTTGTGTGAACGGGTTAGCATCTTCTTTATGAAGAAGATGCCGCGGCCTGGGCCTGGTATAGGGCCTGGCATTTTGGTTGATCAGTGATTATGCTGATTGAGTGGAGAGTGTGATTGTTTGCTGTTCTTGGTTTCTTGGTGGTGAGGTTTGGGGAGGTTTAAGGTTGTCCGCCTGTCAGGGGCCGGGAGGCGAAGAGTCACATGCCTGGGGTATCGCTCGGTGCACACTGCCGATGGATATTTTGAGAGCAGGGAAGTGAAAGCACTGGAACTTGGCTTCATATATATATGCTGTAATCCAACTCCTGATCGTCTTCTTGTTCTTGTTGTCGTCGCCGTTACTAGCCACCGACATCTTCTCACGACGAAAATCTCGACAGGCTAAAACCAACTGCGCAAAAGTCCCACCTCTCCACCTCACCAATTGCCTCACCATGTTCTCTTCTGCCTTCCTCGAGTCCTCACTCGCCGACTGAAAACACTCATTATGGTAAGCCAGCCCACCTCTCTCTCCGTGCAATGGAGCTGTGTTCTCCTCGAACTCGAACCCGACCAAGTGCAAGCGCAAAGCAATGATCAAGAATGATGCCTATAGCTAATGGTGAACAATCTCTGAATCAAAAATCATTTGAAGTCAAAACTTTTTTAGCCCTGACGATCTTGCTTTGCGCTACACTGTGTCCTTGCACAGGAAGAAGCCACGTTAACGTTTCTTTCACCGAAACGTCGTGCTAACATTCTCTTCAGGATAGGTTTAAATACACTCTCATCCCCCCACTACGACCAACGCCCTCGCGTTCTTCACAAGGTAACTTTCACCCCCTCCCTTAATCGCGCACATCAAAACACCACACCCCAACCTTCGAAAGGAAGACATATTGAAACGTCGGGCGGACAGATTCCTCTCTTTGCCCACCCTTGCCATCATGGGAGGGTAGTCGTCCACAACGTACAAATTTCTGTGGATTGGGCGGAGGGGTTGTTGATTCTTGTACGTTCAGCTGATCATTGGTTGCTTGTGGTTTTTGCATGTGTCGCGATGAAGAAGAGTCTTATGTTCCTGTGGTCAGGGCTGACTGGATCTTCATAGTGCTTGGCCTCACGCCGTCTCGCTTCAACACACTTCACGCTCGATATATGAGAAGGTTAGTCTCTACCCTTCAACCATTCCCCAACGGCTCCAAGAAGCACACAAAGAACGCAGAGATGATACACAATTTATCATGTATTCACACTGTCCTAAGCCTTCGGGGTAGCACCCATTGGCTCATGACGTTACCCTTAGCTCTAGATCTGAGCGTTCTTGTGTGTTCTTGGATATCGCTGTGGAAGTGGTGGTATTTGCGATTTTGTCTGGGAATGAATGAGCTGACCATCTTGATAGATATATGAGCTGTTGGACACTTCTGGATCTGTGCTACCCAAGGGTCGGAAGTGTGGCTCTTCGATAGATGGAGATGTACCGGTTGTTACCTCGACCGTTTCTTGGCCGCGTCCGCTGAGCTCTTAGGTTTCAGAGTCATGAGATTTGGAAAACGGTAGAGAGATCACGACGGTATGCTCTGTAGGTCTTCACCTATCGAAGACCCATAGTTCTGGCGTACGTTAGATAATATAAGAAATACATGTTGTGCCATCGCTCGCTCATCATTCCGTTAACCGATAGACTTTTACACCTTCCTCTTTCGTTCTTACGTTTGTCCGGTCCTCCTGTAGTCGCTCTAGCTCTTGCGCAATTATGCGAGGGCGCTGTTACTGCTGTGTGCAAAATTCTTGACGCGGCGCATTTTACCGCCTATCTGCGCGGGGATAGTTTCATGAACCCCCCCATCTTCATAGACAAGGCTTGGGAGGGCGGTTTCAGGGTAGAGGTCGATAGATCAGACTCTTAGGAATCGATAGATGTCCTCGAAACGCGTGTAGTACCGGTTCTCATAGAGTTGTGACATTATGAAGGATTTCGGCCCAGGTGCATGATGTTGCATGGATATGCATGAAAACATCGAAAACACTCTCTGGACCCACAAACCTCAAAAACTGGTAGAATCAAAGAAACCACACGCAGAACATGTTCATCCAAGTTCCCTCTATTTCATGGGACCCAGAGCTGCATCCGTAGTGCCTTCCAGGGTCCGTTTCTTTCTTTTCACTGAAAACACCTTTTCAGCATGAAGCAACTGAGGGAGGCCTTGTGGCCCAAAACCGGTGGCACGACGTGATTGCTAACGATAGGTATGATCAGTTTGAACCCTTACTCGACCTCCGAGGCCTTTATCTATGTTGCTTTAGGGGTTTTTGTCATATGGAGTTTGCGATTCGCGCGCACATGGGAAAGTCACGTCAAGAATTTTGCACACAGCAGTAGTCGCGCGGAAAGATTCCCACGACCTCAGGTGTTCTCAGTGCAATGACCAGCGCAGTGGATAACCTCGACATCTGAGATGTTACTTCGTTTTGACACTGAAAGGATCTATTCTACACGCATCTACCCTCGGGATCCAACCATGCTTCTCCCTTGCTCATTCATAGTTTCAGTACCGGATTGAGAAGTCGTGCATTCGGTCGTTCAAGAATTAGACAGCTGTTTCGGTACAAGATGTAGAGGACCACTTGCTCGTACGTGATAAACCCAGTGAACACTTCCCTATGCATCCTACGTGCGTCTTGATATCAATCCCGCTCCTGACTCCTTGTGCGCGTATTCACACGGAGCATTGCACCGGAGTCGGACCACACACAGAACACCACAACTATATAAGGGCCAATGAATGTTCTTCAGCGTGCAGTAAACTAAATTATTCAAGTCTCTGTCCGACTCCCCATCTCTGGACTTCTCCCCATCTCTGGACTTCTCCCCATCTCTGGACTTCTCCCCAACCAACCACTTCAACCTACCGACGCCAGCAACACCAGTCCCGGAACCTCTGTCGACACTGGACACGCACCAAACTCCTCTGGGGCTTGACGAGCGAAACTGCCGAAGCAGTTCAGAATTCAGAGCTTTCTCCCCATGCCCCCCCCCTCCCCCCCCATCTCGACCCAGTCCGGCTAACGTTTTGAATAGGAACATGAGCCCTGAGAATCTGGAGCATGCTGGATCGCACCCGCCATAACCAAACCCGAGGATGCTACTACGACGAAGCAGTCTTACTAAGGATGAGGAGGCTTTAGGGGCGAAAATCCTGAAGATGCAAGACAAGACACAGATTCCCAACCTGTGTCATTGCAGGGAGTCAAGCGAGATCTATGGTCCATGCCTATGTGACTGATCGCGGTGGGGGCTGGTACAGGCGATCTTTCTTGACCGTGGCGGGCCTACCCTAACTGCAACTGTGTATCGAGGTACTAACTCTGTTGTCCTTCGTCTCGTTGAATCCTCTCCTGAGGTTGGCACTGCAGCTTTCCTAAAGTGGAAGGACAGGCTGTAAGTGCCCATGGGGAGATGTTATGAAATGATCTGCTATCCGTTTTGAGGACTAGTTGTGGTGGACCGTGGGGACGATGTGTGCAGTTCTTAAAACCTACACAGTTATTGTCCGTGGCGAGATACTCTTCTTTTCGGAAGGTGAGCGGGTAATTGATTTAATGGAGGACTGGGCGCTCACGAAAAGTACATGTTGACAACAGGTTTATAAGGATGACAAATGCTTTAGAGGCGGTACCACCATAAAGCGCAAGTCACGTCCTCAGAGTACCTCTGTCAAGCACAGACTCGCCACCTAAGGTATTGGAGGGAGTCAAGCGAGATCTATGGTCCATGCCTATGTGACTGATCGAGGTAGACAAGGGCACAGACTGTTTTTCATGTCTCCTATGGCCCCACCCGCTGCCACAGCCGTGTATCGAGGGGCTCTTACTATTGTGGGTGGAAGCTGGACACACAGGACCAAAACACTTCGCCAACTACGGACTTATCACCTAAGTACTTAAAGAGGGTCAAGCAAGACCCATAGTACTCTAGATGACTGAGTTGGCAGAAAGGCTCAAGCTCCATGGCGTTCCGCTCTTGTCGAGGCATTGGGAATGTTGAACGATTAGAGCCCGTTCAGTGTACTCTGGCTCTGGGATTCGATATGACCTCTAATCCCAGAGCTTGATCGAGTGCCGCCCTAGTCTCTCCTCTTCGCCACGGCCAGAGGAATACCAGGGTTCCTTCGAGATACTGCTATGCAAAACCGGTGGGGAACCACGTACAGAAGGTACACATGGACATACGAGACCATCCAGCACATTCGGTGGCAAGGAACTTGAGGGCCATGATTCACGAATCGTCCTACGCCGTAGGAGTTATGATCATGAGCCTACGTCAACCCCTTGGTTTGCCTGACCTCTCATCAACGACATTGTTGATGAAGGGGTCGTGTATATGGGCTCGGACTCTCGATGGGGTCGCATTTTCGACGATTCCTACCAGGTTGCGTAGCAGGTGCTTGTTCCTATGTCTCGACGGGTGAGTGCGCTTTGGAATCAAATGTGATGATACGTCTGATTTCCGAGTCCATCCAGTACATTCGGTGGTGCGGACGAGGGGGCTGTGACTCTGCATCCCGTAGCATGAGTCTAGGTTTCCTTGCTCTGCTTGACCTCTAACCATCGACAAGATTGTCGACGGATGGGTCGGGCAGTGATGGTGTCGAATTATCCATAGTCGACACTGTTGTTGCACGATGCTTTGATGGACGCGTGGGAATCGAAGGTACGCTGAAGGTAAGCATGCGGTAAGGACAGATACTGTCGACCAAAGCAGAGATTGTATGCATTATCATTACTTGTGTTAGACCAACCGGAGCCCCCATGTTACCTTATCCGCCTTCAGCTACCAATCCTCCCTACACTTGCATATCAATCTCGCAATACGAACGCCGAACCCCAAAACCCACCCGAGAAAGCTTCCATCAAACTTCCTTGACCTCATTCACCGTCAAGACACCCTCCCTCTTCTCCTTCTTCTCATCCTCCGGTCCCTCCTCCGCAGTCATCAATCTCATCCTCTCCAACCCAATCCCCCGATGCGCAAACAAAATCCAAAACCCAAACACAGGCTTCGCCAACAAATCCAAAACCCCGTAATAAAAGCCATCGTTCCTTCCCAAGCCACCGTTCTCTTCGGTGCTGACCACGCCGAGTTCTGCGACGGCCCAAATGATGGGGTAGAACACCCAGATGATGGCGAGGAACCCGCCCAGTCCGACGAAGATACGACGGACTTCCATATCTGTTGGCGAACTGAGTGTTCGAGAGACGGAGCCGTACATCTTCGTGACAACGTATACCAAACACGCGCATCCGATAACATACAACCCCCACTTAAGCTCCGTAACCCCAGCCTTCGTAGCGAGCAGTCCAGAGAGAAGCATAACCTCATCGGCCGCAACAATCCGGAACATCACACCCATATCCGTCATCCCCGATAGTAGCAATAAATCCAACAAGAGGAGCGGGGTGGTGATGAACCAATCTGTGTAACGGGTCGTTGTGTGATTCGGTCGCCACGTGGAAGTCGAGGACGGGGAGGGAGTGGTGAGGGATGCGAGGTTCGCGTACGCGATTGAGGCGGTGAGGATCGTTGCGGCTGTTATGGTGTGGATTGCGCGGCCTCTCCCAATCCTCCTCAACCACGTTCGTTCCTTTTTACTCTCACACTCACTTCCATTCGCGTGACTGCGCTCAGAGGGATATGTTGGGGTTAGGTATGCGAACACCAATACCAAAATCGCCGAAAGCGCGAGTATGGAGGATAGAGCGAGATAGAAGCTATGGGAAGCTGCGTCGGTGCTTGAGTCAGAGGGTGTGCGGAGACGTTGGGTGAGAATGGAGGGGGTGAATGCTCCCTTCCCAGTCAAGATCTGCTCGTCCATGACCATCACGACGACCTTGAAATCGATGGCTTATGAGTCGTGATAGAGGTGTTGGTGGAGATGTTCAGGATGGCATGACGTCATGCTCGACAGTCCTCCTCCGCCAGCTTACTCGCTGAAGCCGCCTCTAAGTTTTCAACTGAGTACCTAACAGCCAAAGACCTCGTCCAAGCACATTTTGTTCAGCTCCAGCCGCTAGTATCCACCTTTTCCCGATTCCTCCATGGCTCGCACATCGAAATCCACAAATACCCACGCCCAGGACCAAAGCCAGAACCACTCCCTAAAATCCCAACCGGCACCTTTCAAACGTCTCCCAGGTGTCAAATACATCGACGACGTCCCATATTCGAAACTCCTCCACGACCAGAAACCCATCCGCCGCGCCCAAATAGTTATTCTCCACCAAATGGGCTACACCAACTCGGTAGTAGAGAAAGAACGCCTTGTTGCCCGATCAACATTAAAGGACACTCTCTCCCGGTACGCCAAGACAAAGACGTATCGCGATTTGCCAAGGGGTGGACGCCCAAAGTCATATACAGAGCGGGAGGAACGAGAGTTGGTGAGGAGTGAGGGTAAGGGTCGCCATCGGATGCTATGACGCAGCTGTTGCTGGTCACGCGAATATAATACTGTAAGTTTACGTTTGATTGGGAATGCATTTCCTTGATGCCTTAGTGGAGTATACTCCTACAACCCCGCCTCCAACATTCACGAATCAACCTCCTCCGATTTCCCCCTCTTCTTCCTCCTTGGGCCTTTCCTCGTTTTTCATACAACCAAATCCTCTCTTCTGGGACACTCCACCCCCTCCTTATCCCCAACCTCAACCTCATGGTCCCGTCCCCCCATAACATACCGAATCCTCAACACCTTCTTCTCTCCCCACGCCGGATCCCAGATTCCAGGAATCCGCGTCTTAGCGTACCCCGCCGGAATACGGAGTTGGGATTCGGTAACGAGTGCAGCGATGGGGATGGTGACGTCGATGAAGTTAGCGACAGTGGTGGGAGATGCGGGCGTACCATATGCGGCGGAAAGAATGACGAGTCCCCCAGTGGGCTTGCTCGCCTCAGATTGCTGTTTTCTGTCCACACTCGCACGCATCAATTCCTGTTCCTCCCTCGCTCTCCGCTCTTTCTCTTCCAACGCCGCCCTCCTCTCCTCTCTCGCCGCCTGACGTTCACGTCTCCGTTGTTCCCGTCTCTTAGGCTTCAAATATCCGATTTCGAGAGCGACGAGGGTAGAAACAGGAGCCACCGCTCCCCAGAACATCGCGCTTGTGTTCAGCGTGTCGGAGATGATGACGGGAATCGACCATTTCTGTCCCAATCGGGAGAAATCGACACGGACTTGGGCTCCCATCGTCGGTACAGTGACTGCAAGAGTCAGACCCACGCGAGTATTCTCCGCAACCTTCCTCGTTGCACCCAAGGTAACTTGAGATCCCATCGTACCAATCGTGACACCCGTCTTCACACGAATCGCTTTCCCGCCCTTTTTCGACCCAATACTCTTATTCAACTCAAACCCGACACCGGAAGCCGCGAGTCCCGCCGTGATCTCCGCCGTCCAGTTCTGCCCGAGCTCGCGTCCCTGCACCCCCAACGTAAAACTACTCTGCTCAACCTTCCGCGGCAACGGGAACCCCCACGGCCCGAGCGTGTAATACCCACTCTTCCACGTCGCAAACCCGGTCGCCTTGTTGGTGAGTGCATGTCCATACGTCACTGTCAACTGTGGCGGATGACGGAGTGGGTTAAGTCCGTTGTTGTGGGTCTGGATGGAGGCGAAAGAGTCGTTGTCGATGGCGTATACGGTTTTCGTGAAGAATGCGCGAGGGGAGAGGAGGAGGACACCGGCTTCGAGGGAGAGTTTCTCGGAGTGAGTGTGGCGGGTGGAGAGGATGACGTTTCCAGTCGTCTTGCCTTGCATTTGGGCCGTGATATTCAGAATCGTTCTTGCTGGTCCCTCTTGCTCCGATTCCGATTTGGCGTCGATGAAGGGGAGGGAGAATGGGATGTGGAACTGATGCCGCATAAACACATTCGCGACACTGCACAGACTCAGTCGTTCAGCGAACGTAAGTTTTCGATACCGCGGTAACCCCATCACCGTCGGTCCCGTCTTATCCACAGCCCGTAGGTCGAGGAACATCATCCTCGCATCCACCGTCGTATTAATATCCCCACGACTCCGCACCAACGCTTCCACATTCTCCTCCCTCGTCTTCCTCACCAACTTCTCAAACTCGCGCCGCATCTCCTCCGGTGTCTTCGTCTTATGCCCCACCTCGAGGTTCGCGCGTTGCTGCAAGCCCTCATGACCGAAATTGTCGTAGATTGCGCGGGTGTGTGGGTTGGAGAGGACTTCGTACGCGGACTGAATTGCACGGAAGCGTGATTCTGCGAGGGATTTTAGGTGGGGTTGGGGGTGTTTGTCGGGGTGGTAGGTGCGGGAGAGGGTGCGGTAGCTGGAGGTGATTTGTCCCGGAGTTGCTGTCCGAGGGAGATTCAGGATAGCGTACAGGTCGTCATCGTCGTGATCTCCATCGCCGTTGGCGAAGAGACCCTCATCATCCTCGTTGTCGTCGAAATCATCCCGATCCGAGTAGGATCCATTGCCATGACCGTTCCCATTGGTATGGCTATAGGGATCCTCCTCTTCCAGGTCTTCCAAATTGACGAACGTCGAGTCTGTTGACATGCGTGGTCGGGGCATGGTTGCAATGGTAATTGATCCCTGATCAGCTGGTGGTTACCTGTATGGTTCTTGTACGCAGCTGGTAATATCGGAGATGGCCCTGTCAGGCACGAGCAGGCAGCGAACCGCAGGAGCTGCACATGACGTTCTTGCATCACAACATTGGCCAATTAAAGTCCATTAAGATATACTAAGCCCATCACTACATTTGGCGATCATCAATGCTGTTCAACTTCACCTGTCCTTCAAGCCTCCATAAATCCCAGATCCACTCCTGCACACCCATTTCCGCTTCACCAAGTCTCCTAACCGTCCCACGATCTGCGTGAAATCCTCTCAAACCTTCTCCATTTCTCTCCACTACCCAATGTCTCGCGTCATTCGTCGCGTCCGGTCGTCCATCGGTGAGAGTGTTGGCGTCAACCGCATCGATCCGCATACCCAGCTCATCACGGAACTCCTCCACGACATCCATAGACACCCGCCTCTGCACACGCGTATTCGGCCTTACGAGCTTCCCATCATTGCACTTAATCGGATGCACAATACTCGTCGTAGTTTTCCATATCACATACGCCTCGGGCCAATGGTCCCTTACAGTTCCCAACAACTGCCTCACCTCCTCCGCATACTCCGTCTCGTTGTGGGTCTGCTGAAGCCACAACCCGATATTAACGACGATATGAGAGACTGGGTGTGATTCGGACGCTATGGTAGACATCCGGCGGTAGGCTTCGTCGTAAGATATTTCCTTGCCGCCCATGTAGATGTAGCTCCAACGTGTTTCGCGGTTAGCGGCGGTGAGGTAGTCGAAGACTCGGAATGGCCAGGATTGGTAGCCCCATGCATCGCCCCGGAATTCGCAAACACCGTCCGTCACGCCATCGTGGAGGGCTGGGTAGATTAGGCCGCAATAAGGGGACCGCGTGGTGGAGTCACCGATGTAGAGGACGTGGTTGATGTGCGAGTACTCGGGGTCATCGAGGGCTGTGGCCATGACAGGACAAGAACGCTTGCAGGTGTAGGGTTGCCATATATACTCCGGTATCTCCTCTGCTGGACCTTGGAAGTATGTCCGGGCCCATGCTTCGGACAGATATCGTGGTGCGATATGTTTGGTCGAGATCCACCTCCCGTCTGCTTCCTCTGTCTTCATCACGCCCGTACAGGGCGTCATCGAGTCAATCGGTGGTGGACCGACTACGTCGATTTGAAATGGAGCCCCGTACACCATGCATTTCGAGAGAGGGAACTTCATCCAGTTGTAGTGCTCGCAGTGCTCATACTCTGGCCATACGTAGATCTCGTACACACCCGGATCCCGAATCATCCATTCAATCTGGATGGTGGAGCTGTCCACCATAGTGATGTACTCATCCTCCACGGGAACCACCGCGGAAGTCGGTCCTTTGAACCAAACGAAGTAAGTTTGAGGGCACCAACCTTCCTCTAGTGCATATGTGCACGCAAAACGCATCTTGAACCGTTGGCTGACTTCGACGACGTATGGGATCTCGGCGGTAAAAGGGCCATATGCGATGATTTCGTCTTGGAGTAACGGATTCTGTGTAACGTTCTTGGACTGTTCCGTGGGATGACGAAGATGTGGGAGGAGCAGCGGCGTCGGTTTATGTCTTCCCATGCCAAAGTCGAAACGTGGACCAGGATGATCCGATCCTGGCGGACCATGAGGACCTGGAGGCCCAAGGAAGAAGTCGGCGGTCGCTGGATGAAAAAGGATCAGCACGATCAAACCGAAGCTGACGCAGAGGAAGCTGATGAGAGTTGTCCTCTTGCGGTGAAAGAGGTATTGACTCAGGCATGACAAAGGCGATTCTTCCGATCTCCTCTGCTCTCCTCTCCTTCGATTCTCAGTTTCTGATGTTGGTACCAGCTCCCACATCACCGGTGTAAGCGTTTGTCCTGCTGTGTTATAACAAAAGTCTTGGCAAGACCTCTGGTTTTGAAGTAACCCAGACCTCAGTTCCCCCCAAATCCTGACCGGTCTTGATTCAGCCGTGCAGTACTGGTACGTGTCCCCACTTCCGCCACACATAGAGATACCAACCATGCGATTTGCCTCTCAGCTGCCATATGTAAAGTTTTCGATGGGTTTAAGGCCAATCGAGGGTCTCGTATGTCATATTCTATTTCGCATTGTTACTTGAGCGGGGTTGACGTCGAAGATTGGCGTCGTGCGCGGGTCGGAGAAGCGAGAGCGTTGCGGTGAGCGCGGCCGAAACCGTGGGACGGCCTGCGCCACATAAGGCACATGGATCCAGGTTTACGAGTCCCGGAAGTTACCCTTGAGTTTAAGAATTCACTTGGGTCTCATAGTCAATAAAAGCGATAGCTGGAAGAACTTTTTTCTTCGTCAGAAATGTTAGGGGCATCAGAATCATGCAGTGTAGCCGTCAACGATTCTCCCAAGTCCATTATGGATACTTATTTCTGCTACCAAGGTCTTTGTGTAACTAAAAGGTAGATATAGGTATACTATCAAGAATGAAGCATCCAAACCCTGCCTTTATACTCGTCAGTACCAGTAGTCATTATACCCAACCTGACACGAATCTTTCGCACAGGAACACATCGCGCGTGGGAACCCCTCGCAGAACTCACTCGTAGCGTTCATCACCCAACGAGGTCTTGTCAAACCGATGGAGTCTAGCTCCCGTTGCATCGTAGGCATGTCCGGGATATCCGTCCTCCCGACATCGACGACCTCCCCGTACTTCTTCTCAACAAGATCTCGTAGACGAGGATGGTGCTTGTACTGATGGATGACAGTTTGAACATCACCGACGTCGTTCAGCATCTCACCCCAGACGTTGAAGCGTACTATAGGAGTTGTACCAACTGTGCCGAGCAGGGACTCGTTATTTGGAACTAACCACAAAGACCCAACGCCAGCATCCTTGAATTTATGGCTCATGAGCCCTGAGTAAAACAGATGGATGTGCAACGCCTGATCATTGCATCGGAAATGCGAATCCAACAACGTCATCGCCATTGTCTGTAGATATACAGACATAGCCTTCGCCGTTCCATACACCGAACCAGCACAGATCCTCTCGAAGTCTCCTAAGTCGTCGATCTGCTGTTGCGTGATATACGGTCCGCCCTTGGCCTTTTCGCATTCGTCGAACCATCTCAAATGGTACTTGCACTGTCCAATACGCAGACCTGTCCATTCGGCGAAGTAGGCGAGGGAGCTGCCATGCTTGAGTGGCATGTCGAAGGGGTTTCGCTGGAAGACACTGTCGAGGTCGATGACAAGGGCTTTGTCGTACTTTACGGCGAGGGACTGAGGATCACCGGCGTGTCCAAGCAAAGCTGCCCATGCCCCGAACCTCCAGAAGACGAGAGGGGCCCATTGTCCGTGTACGTTCTCATCAGGCCCCACGAAGTCGACAAAAGGAAACCTCCTTACAATCTCCTGAAACCCCTTTGGAAGATCCTTGGCGATTGCCCCCGGGACGGTGATCTTGACGTGAACAGGAGCTGGAGGACACGTGTGCTGCTGACTGGCAAGAAGCGTTTCACGACCGAGTGAAGCTTCGAGAGAGTTGAGGAAGATAACCAGTTGGTCCTGCCACTCAACTCCAGAAATCGCAGTCAAGATCAAGTTCGGACGTTTCGATTCGCAGCCATTCTCACCAATCTGAGTACTGGTATGAACAGTGGAAACACGAATATGCGACGCCGGCCCAGACAGCATCTTCCCCCATGATCCGGGATCAGCAAGAACTTCTTGATTCATGGAATCGGTGCACCACGTTGCAAGATCTTCGAAGAAAGCGACGGAGAGACCAAGGAGGAGGAGGGCGGTGATGAGCCACTTGAAGCGTTTACGAAAGCTCATTGATCCTGCCATCGTGTGTTTGACGTACGGAGATCAAGGTACTTCTAATGTGTTTCATGTAGGGTGCTGGTCTGTGGAGTGTGCGAAGGGAAGAAAACTTCGAAGGCTGCAAGGTGTGCGGCGGGAGGTTTAACGCTTATCTCACATACGACTGCTGCATTACAAGCTCCTCTGCAGTCTTCTCATAAGCCGTCTCTGTACATTGCAATTGCAACATAAGGGTTGTATCAAGGCTCACTGCTTTCGCGTTCCCAGCGAGCTCGCAATTGGTGGCAGTCGAGGTCCCTGCCTGACCCTGGTATTTGGCCGACCCGTCTATCTCCTCCGATATTCCTCTTAAAAGATCGTTCGCTTTCCTCCTGCAGATATCATATCCCAACCTCAATCACCCGACCTCCGCCCACCACGCGGCCGTGCGAAAAGTTCCCTGCGCAGCCGCCACCTCGCTAACATGGGGACCCAACCAGCTGTGCGATAGGCGACCACCCGCCATCTCTTGTCAGTGACGCTCAATATCCTCGTATTTGACGAAAACTTCACCCAAATCCAAACCCCGTAATGAAATATCCTTGGCATCCACCCGTTTTCCTCACGTCCGCGGCGGCACGAGCGCGGGAAGTTTCGGTCGATAATTTCGGGGGTCTCACCTGTAAGTCCGGGACGTTGTGGCGGGTTAATAAGAACTGGCAGAACCCTAAAAATAAGTCTGTCGGACTAGGGCAGCTGCTGTTGTTTGTCAGTCATTAGAGTTCAGGTTCGGTCTTAAACAACTGTGACATGTCATCTAACAGCTTGGTAAAGGCTTTCTCACAGGGGCACAGTCTTCCTACGATAGGTTTATCCGGCAGATACTGGACGTGGAGATATTTGTGACCGTATATTCAACACGTATGACCAGACAAGTCCTTTACCGTGGCAGCACTCTCTCCACATCCTCCTTTGACCTCAGAAACCCCGTCTTGCGGTTTCTATCCCACTCTGTTCGTGCCATCTCTCTCAAACAGCGACGCAACATTCAAGTAAACCGCATCATCCTTAAGCATATGTGGACAGATGGCGCCTTCGAACACCTTGTGCTCCCACCCTTGCTCACCATCCACCTCTGGATTGTAGTCGAAGAATCGCCGTTGATCAAGTCCGACGAAATTATGTTCCTACTGCTTCATCAGCAAAAAGTCCGACATGCGGAAAGGGAGGAGATACGCACCACGTTCGCTTCGTACAGCAACCTTCCATTGAGCAAGTCCTCATGCTCCGTCGTGATCCCCGATATAGCGTGTAGCTCGGCCAGCTTCACCGTCATATCCCACGAAACCGTATAAAACGCACCACTAGGATACGGAAACAGTGGGTTGAAACACCTTCTCCCCATCAACACCATACTTGTCTCCCTACTTTTGATCCGCGGAAGTAGGAACTCCTGCCAAAACGCCTGAACATTCACAAACGAATCATCATCAACCTTGCTCACCCATGTCCACTCCCTTCCTACTTGTGCCAACCATTTGAAGAACTCTATCGTCTTGACCGTATTCGCAACTTGTTTGTTCTCCTCCAAATGATCCAATACCACCAAGTCCCCATATGTCGCGTTTTCAGCTTCGATGAGGGGGACATGGGGCAAGGATGGGCGTGCAAGGACAAAGCGAAAGGTTGCGTTGGGGCAGAGGGGGTGATAGAGGGATTGGTAGGTTGAACGGATGATGTGGCGACGAGTGTAGGACTGAACTGGGGACATTGTTGCGAGAAGCCAGGTTGGTGAAACGTCAGCTCTGATCTGTCCGAGGTCCGTGGTGTGTGCGATGGGAGCAGCAGGAGAAGGAAGCGCTGCTGAATCATGGTTGTGAGATCGAAGATTGTGGAGTAGATAATGGAGGAGCGACGCGGTGCCGAAAGAGATCACTGTCAACAGGAGTAGTCTGAGCACGAGAACTCCTCGGCGGCGAAGGGCCTGCGGTGTCAGTGCAGTCATCCTGCAGCCGAACCTCTGGGACATGGCTGTGATCTCGAGGAGACGAAAGTATTATCCAGCATTGCCAAAGTCATGTAAACTCGCTGGAGCACGAACGTATCCACGATTTGCCGCCCGGGTGAACCTCCTCCCGATCCAAACCCAACTGCCGCTCGGAAGCCATGATCACATACGCGGCTCGATTCGTCCAGATACAGACACTAATCGCTATGAGGCGTTGCATAATTGTGGTCTGTCAGCCCTCGCGCTCGAAACACTTCGGCTGAACCGACTCGCCGTCCGAAAGCTGGGGAAGCCGGGCATGTGCAAAGACAGGAATTCGGTCGACCCGTGCTCAACACAACCCGAATATTCCCACACTCAGACGATGTGCCGCATCCAATCAATACATGTCGGGTTACGATGAGAGAGGTTCATACTAAGTACCACGGGTCAACGAAGGTGTGCGAGTGTCACACCGAACCAGATGTCTCTTGCGCCAATATTTAGGAGGAAAAGAAGCCTCGGATTTTTGTTGATCCTCTCAGCTCTCTTCGCCTCGTGGTCAGCTATATACCACTGTACGACACCCCATGTCTCTCACTACACCTCTTCCTTCTTCAAATGGAGTTCAAGCAGTGTCATAGTCCCTCAGCAGCCTCCTACCGGCGGCCGTCGACTTCCTAACTTCGCTTTCGCAATCAAGACCGGGAAGGAGACGATTGAGGAGCGTCTGTCGAGGCAGTTCGCAACCTTCCTCCCGCTGATCAACAACTTCATCTACATCTCCGACCACAACGAGACCTTTGGCACAGTCCCCGTCTACGACTGCTACAACCCCATCTACACCGACGCCTGGTCCCGCCTTACCGCTCAGAACCCCCCCGAAACCCTTCGTTTTCCACCGCCTTCCAACCTCGAAGAAGTCCGGAAACAGGAACCGGGTTGGGAGAGGGATGCACACAAAAATCTGATTGGGTTCAAGCATCTGTATGAGTCTTTTCCAGACGCAGACTGGTACTTTATGATCGACGATGATACGTATGTCTTCACCTCCAATCTCTACGACATCACCGCCGATCTCGATCCTGAGGCCCTCATCCACATGGGCGTAGTCCGTGGTAAGGAACATTGCGGCTCGAATGACGACATGCCTGAACCTCGTCACGGCTTCTATCAAGGCGGTAGCGGCATTCTTTTCTCCCGGGGTGCGATGAAGGCCCTCTATCCTCACCTCGATGAGTGTATCATGAAATCCTGGGACTGCGAAGGTGGCGACCGTAGGGTTGGGCTGTGCCAATACGACGCCGGTATCCCCGTCCGTCATTGGTGGCAAAACCCCTTTGCTTTCTACTCACATGATTTCCGGGATTTGAACGCCGAGTGGGGATGGCCCGGGGACTCATGTCTACGTCCCATCACCGGCCATCGCATGCGCAAAACCGACTTCCAAGACGCGTTCCAAGCTGAGCAAGAGGCTCCATCTGGCAGAGTCACCTTCGCTGACCTCTACGCGGCGCAACGCGGTGGGTACGTGGACGATATCGCTCCGGACAGGAACTACCCAGGCTGGACTGACTTCGGAGGGGAGCCCCTCACCTCCGCCCTCGCCTGCCACGAGCTCTGTCAATCAACTCCCCAATGCCTTGCGTGGACCTGGGGGGAGGTGGAACAGTTTTGTTGGCTCAAAAATGACGCAGGTGGGAAGGAGGAGAGGAAGGGGTATGTCTCGGGGATGTTGGGGGAAGGCTATAGGTGCGGAGTTAGGGGTGGAGTGGATTTGAGGAGGCTTGCGGGGAGTGCGAAGTTCAATCGGACGGCGTTCTTGAGTGGGGATGAGGATCCGATGATTCATATTTAGGAAGAGGATAGAGGATACGGGTGTGGCTTTTAGGACGTTTCGTGGACATAGTGAATGATATGGATATCTTGAATTCACGCTCTTGAAACCTTGCAGATACGCATACTCGATAACCACGTTCGCCCCAAAGCGCTTGTTTCCATCATATACGGTCGATCACACACCTTCGTGTCTCCAAGATCATCGACATCAACGCAAATGATCTAACTCCACCATCTCATCCAAATAGGCATTCCTCCACGTATCCCAATCCTTTCCCCCAACCCCCCCTTGATGCGGCAAACACCAACTCGTCTGTGGTGGCTTCTTCATCCACCAAATCTTCTCCACATCCTTCGGCGGGAACGGCTTCCCAAACCACTCCCTCCCATCCCAGAGCGGATGTCCTCCTTCCTCCTTAAGTTTGTTGGCAATGGGGAGTTCGTGGGGGAAGACGCCCGTGTCTTCGATTCGCTCGACGGGAAGGGAGCGCATATCGAGGTAAGGTTGGAGGTCGTACCAGACACCTACGCGGGGAATGACGGCAATTTTTCCGAAGCCGTGGGACCAGAAGTCACGGCAGACGAGTTCGCATTCACTCGCCTGACACTCCCCCGCGCTCACATTGCCCGCTCTAAACCGCACGGGGTCAACACCGTCATGCTCATAGAAGGGCGCGGCGTCCATGACGACAAGTCCGTTCCAGCAGGAAAACACTTGGAATGGACGGCGTTCACGGAATCGCCATTGAGTGATAGGATCATCCCGGAACAGAAGATCAGGGTCCTTTGAGAAGGAGTATCGTTCCCACATTGGGTAGCACATTTGTCCTTGCATAGTTCGCATGACCCACATATCCCAGATCAGCGGATACGGTGTACTGACTGCCTTACGCTCTTCCCACCAATCGAGGGGACAAACCATATCTGCCCCTTGGGTTTCAAGTTGGTAAAGGAGTTCCATGACTTCTTCAGAACAGTGGAAGACGTCGTTGTAGAAAATGACGCGGTCATAAGATTTCTCGGCATTATACATCGGTTCCAAAGCTTTGTTGCGATGAGCTGCCAACTGAACAATCCGATTAACGTTGAACCAGTCAGTGGGAGTGGAGTCGGTGATGATGAGGTTCGGGATCTCGAAGTCATCCAGCAAACCCCTAAACGCTGCGAGCATGGCTGGTCCTTCGTCCTCACTTCCGTTCTCGACGATAGATACGAAGACGGAGTCGGCGCCGCGGTTTGTGAGGATTGCGACGAGGTCGATCATTTCGCGGAAGATGGTGGGGAGGACTCTGCCGTTGTTGTAGGCGTTCATTGCGAGGAAGAAGCGTTTGCCTAGGAAAGCATACGCATGTTAGTCATAACTGTGAGACCAAAGTATAGGTTGATTACCCTTGATAGGAACATCCATATACCGATCCTTCGTAACGAACAACCTGTCACATTTGGGAACCAGCAAACCCCCGTGATGCGGCCATTGAGCGAACGGTTTCAACCCAGCCGTAACAGCATCATGAAGCTTGTAACGGTCAAGCAGTTTATGTTCATCGTGAGGGATAGCTTCGTCCTTCAATGCTTCGGAGCGTACGAAGGTAAACAACATGCACGTGATGACGATGAACAGCTGCAGGTGGATCGTCGTCATGGCAGCGAGCGCGACGACAGCGACAAGACCAGGTTCTTTGGCAGACTTGTTGGACTCGTCTCAATCATGTAGTCCATTCTCATCCCCAACCGATCACCTTTCGACGCCTATCTCCTATCTTGAACCCCGACGTGGCCAGGAAAGTGCGTTGATCCCTCCCGTTCCTCCGACAAGCAGGTTGAGACACGGCACATATAGGCGACGATTCGATGGACACACCGAAATGACCTGCTGTTGCAGCCGCCCCGCTGAGACATGACCATGACGGATTGTCTCGCGGGTACTTTTTATTTTAAGGCATACTCTGTCTCAACATTGTAAGTCCGTGAGTGTCGACTATCACTTGCTTCCTTCCGGTCCTACGCCAGTGGAAACTCGCCCTCAACTTATCCTCATCACACCCTGTTACCACCTCCAACCATGAGCTCCGATCCACGTCCTCCCTTCTCCTTCTGCAGTCGGACAGTCCGTCTTGGAACAGTGCTACCAGTCACGAGGAAGGACTCCGAGAACGAGAAGCATTGGCGCCCAAGCCCCAAACCTGCTCCTCGTCCCCGCAAAGCACTCAGTAAAGCCGGTATCATCACCATCCTCCTCGTCATCTGCTTTATCAACCTTTTTCTCATGAACTACAGACACTCCAGCTCCTCCTCAAACACCCAGGGCTACGGCCAAAAGGGTGGTTTTCGTCGCATTCTGGCGCTGTCTGAGTTGGCCAAGCCCATCCTTGGGGCTGGGTCGGGGTCGGAGGTGGAAGCTCGTTCATCCTTCAAATTCCGCTTCGAGGGAAAGGATATTGAACTCGACCCTGGCTCCGTCAGGCATAATCCCCACATACGAACTCTCCGTCACGGGCCCCAGACCCACGGCCATACCGTTGATTTTCCTCTTCTACTGTCGGCTACTGCGCCAGGGAGTTTGGTGGAGGAGTACCGGAAGTCGTGGTTGTTGGAGGGAGGAGATCCGAAGGGAAGGGAAATTCCTGGTGATATTCTACAGATTTGGATCGGTACGCGGCCAGAAGACGTTCCCTTTACGAGTCATTTATGGCAGGCGGTTCATCCCGAGGCTTCGTATACACTTGTCGATTATTCCATGGCTGGGGATATCCTTCAAGCTCTTGGATCCGAGGTTCAGAGACTCTATCGACTCTTGCCAGACAGCAAACTCAAGATGCAGTTCCTACGCTACGCAAGTCTACTCCTAGTCGGCGGTATATCCGCAGACGTCGATGTACGGCCCATCAAACCCTTCACAGCGTGGGGTGAGGACGCAGCGATATGGCTACCAGACTTTTCCACGCCTGCACGGGGTTTGGTGAAGGATAACGTCAAAGCTGTCGAGCTTGCGGAGACTTATGGAACGTCGCTTGGTTATCATTTGGGGCAACCGAGCTTTATAGTTGGTGTGAAGGATGAGAGGAGTTCGGGTGATGCCTCCGACGATGATGTTGATGGACCGAAGATCTGTTTTGCGCAGTGGGCAATGGGGTGTGCACCTGGACACCCGATCGTCTTGGAGGCGTTGGGGGAGGTTATGAAAGAGTTCCACAAGGCTGAATCCATTCGCGATGAAAAGGAGGAAGGACGTCGTATTGGCAAACTCTCGCCAGAGACGAAGAAGCACCTCGCCGATACCCTGAGCGCGGAGAAGATGTCCGCCAAGATATTTGAATACCTCGCTGACCTTGGATTCAATTGGAAGGAAGCGAGGGAGCTGGAGAAACCACTTCGTGTTGGAGACGTTCTTCTGCTGCCCTGGGCTGCGTTTTCGAGGGATCATTATGAGTGAGTGATGCTACCACCCATGAGTATGACGCAATGAGCTAACAGATGTGACTGCTACAGGGTGCAGGATTATCTGAGTCATGGTGAGGTTTGTGCGTTCCATCAACATGCGGCTTGAGCTACCAGGACTGGTTGATTTGCGTTTTGGAACGGGTGGGGGAGGGAGGAGGAGGCGCGCGGGCCGGAGAGGGGTCAAGAGTTTGTGCGAGGCCTACATAGAAGATAACAATGCTAACAATAAAATATGATTTACAAGTATTGCTTGGCGAAAGAATGCGGATCTCGTAACGAGATAAAACGGAGAACCCATGTTCAGAGCCGTCCATTTAATACACTTCGTTACACGGCTGGAGAAAGGCTGCCTGTTCGTATTCCTTTTTCCCGTGTTTTTGCCAAGATCTGTAGAGTGCAGGTTCGCGGCCCGTAAGCTGGTGGGGTGTAGCAGAGACATACGCTATCACGTCTTAAACGACATAAGAGAACACCGGCTATTAAGACATGAAGGCGGACTGGTACAAGGTTCATTCCCGATTCGTTATCTTGCACGTAAGCACTTACATTGTTGCTCTATACGAACAGTGATCCGTAGACATCAGGGTTTTCGCGGGACGGGCAACGTGTTGACCCGTATGGAGAAGCAAGAATCGTAACGCTGACCAGACCAACCGTCCCCAAAGACGGTTCGTGTACTACCTCTACCCCCAGCTTCGCCCTTATAAGCCAGACACTCGCTCAGTTTCGCTTTTGAGCAGAATGGGCCACGTTCAAGTTCCTTACCAACCTTCACTCCCCATCCATTCACTACAAGGCCACTCCAGTCCCGCCACGTTCCGATCTCTTCTCAACGTCACGCAACTACCTTCAGCCGAACAATCGATAATGAAGCTCCTCAAGATCCTCGTACTCGCTGTTGCCAGCATGGCCATGTTTACTGAGACCCTCGCTCTTCCCCAGCCTGCACCTCACCCTTCGCCTGCTCCCAAGGCGCCGAAGAAGCATGAGAATAAGGGTGGGAAGCACGGTTGGGATTCCAAGCACGGTGGGGATTCCAAGCACGGTTGGGATTCCAAGCACGGTGGGGATTCCAAGCACGGTTGGGATTCCAAGCACGGTGGGGATTCCAAGCACGGTTGGGATTCCAAGCACGGTGGGGATTCCAAGCACGGTGGGGATTCCAAGCACGGTGGGGATTCCAAGCACGGT